CCTGGGTGATATCATGACTGATGGGCTCTTATTTAAGGTTCAAAATTTTAAAAACGATATATTATATTATATGCCGACTTTCAACACCGGCAGTTGGACCACCCAAAACGAAAGAAATTATTGCAGAAGCTAATCTAATATTTTATACATTTTTTCTTGCTGAATTGAAATGTAGACCGCCTAAAATTTCATTACAATGTCACCCAGTGCATCTTTCTCCAAAAACAAATCACATTAATGAACCTTGTATGCCAAATACAATTATCTTTTTTCATTTTATTAGTAACGGAAGTACAAAAGAATTCAAGTCAAACCGGTCATGCTGCGTTTCACAATGTATTTAATGCTTATACCGTACTTCCCCAAGTATAAGCCCAGGTGCCTGAACATGTAAAATCGGGAAAATTAGGGGGTGGGCTTATACTCAAGAAGAAAAAAATGCAAAACGAGTCATTGATTTCAACAACACTTTTTACAATGAAGAAACAAACCTGTTTATAAAAATACACACATTTTATTACAATACGCTTTACATACCATCTGAATTTACAGTGCAAAAATGGGTAGGATCTGTGGGAAAACAGTTGAAGGCAATATCTTTATCATTATCGTCATTGTGGAATGCTTTCGATCTTACACAAACTGTTGATACAAAGCTATTTCCGTGTTGGTGTTTTTCATCATGATTTGACCTGAACAACTTCCATTGACAGGAAAATGAAAATGCTGTGTCGTACAGACGAAGTTTATCGATTATTGACGAAGTAATTTTTTCAACGCAATGCGGAAGTGAATTACCGTGATGTTAAAATGCGTTCTGTTAACACTGATTTGGATAAAAAAAAACGCTGATTTTTTTCCTAAAAGCATTGATTCGCAATTTTTGAAAGGTAAACTGAGGGTGGGGGAAGTATTTAAATCTTTCACGGCCACCAACAAGTCATGTCAAAGAATAGTTTGCTCGTTCACATCGTGACCCCAGTCACGATAGACACAATGAACACGAATATTCAGAAAAGTAAAACGATGTTCCAGACCAGGTTTCACGACTTGACGATCACATTTTTGCTGTTTGGAAAAATACTACTCAAAAGAAATATGGATTTCAGTATCGCAACATCAGAGTTCATCCCGAGTAAATAACAGGATAGAAAAGGTGCAAACTATGTTCCGTACGTTCGCCATGCACTCTGAAATAAATGCGAGTTTCCTTGTAAAAGCTGCAACCAAACTACCGTAACAATCATGATTTTTATGCAATGAAATACACTTATTACATGCATATTTTTAATAAATGTTGTTGACACCAGGTAAAAAAACCCTGGGCCTATACTCGCGGATGCCCTCAACTTGTTAAATGTCTAAAAACGGAGGGTGGGCTTATACTCGGGGAGGGACTTATACTCTGGGAAGTAGGGTAATAATGTGCAAAAAATAAAGTCGATGAATTGTTATGAAATGCAAATAAATTTATTTCATCGTAAGCAAATGATTCCAGTTTCATTTTAAATGCTTAATGCTGTAGAAATGAATATCCGCCATGTTTTGACCTGGGCAGTGTTGCTGCCAGGCTGCGTCATTGCGACATTCTCGCAAAATTCACAGCAATGACGCATTATTTTACAAACCCTGGGCCACAGTTGACGCACTAAAATAGTGAGTCATGTCGCGCATTTTGCTTATCACTGGGTCATTGCCTTGGTATACCCAGTTATTTTCGTGATTGAGTCAATGTAAAGTAAACATTGCTGCG